TTGGGTCCGTTTTAACAAATTTCCATTCAACTATACCTAATCATTATTCTTGGTTTTATTTTCATCAACATTTGAAATTTAAAAACTATAAAAATTAACTGTGTTCATAAATTATTTTTTAAGGGTGTACAAACAATTAAAGTGGCCACATTTTTCTCAGTTTCTCACCACCAGGCCAATCGTTAAAAAAACGTTTATCGTGTTTTCCCTACAGTATTTTTACTATCAAAAACATTCTTAGCTTTGTTACATAACATATGACTTAATAAATGAAATGTAAAATATTCAAATTTTTGGATAGGTACCTATTATCATTCAGTTTTTATTATTTTAAATTTTTTAACGCATAAATTTGATTAAGTTACCTATATTGAAAAGTAGGATACCAAACAGAATTGAAAATACACAATTAAAGAATAAAGATTGGCAAACTGAAGGCCAAGGCGGCACGGCCATAGTATCAATGGTGCATAGATCAATTGTAGATAAAAAAAATTAAAGTGTGTGCGATGCTGCATTGATGTTATAGCGCAAGTAATGGATCCTACAACATTTATCACCACATGATCGGATAAACCGTCTGTTGTAAATACAATTATGGCATAATATTTATCATTTTCTATATTATATCATGTAAACACTTTCCATTAAATGTAAATAATTATAATAATAATCAGAATATTGTTTAGAATATTAATATTAGCTAGTTGCCAAGCATGGATTAAGTGGCCTCAATAGTTAGAATTTATTTATGGACCTCTGATTTGTCCATTACTTTTTCGTATAAAAAAAGGTTTTCGTTTTCTGCATAAATCACCTAAAAAAAAAAATCGATAATTATTTAGCTAGGAAAAAATCTTGTAAACTATAATTTATAAATTAATTAATACATTATTCATTATTTATTGCTATATACCTAATATATTAAAATATTATATTTATTATAACAGGTAAATAATATTAAATAATATACAATATTGTGTTCCAGGGTGAAGTGACCGGCCAATGTCATATGAAAGTATACCAAAAATGACGAAGAAATACCCTTTAATGATTAAATCTAACTTTTTTATTTTTTTAGTTATGGGCAATTAACCATTTTGTTTTATCAAAACCATGCGTATCACGCATTTATTTATGTATTTTCAAAACTTTTCCACATTTTTACGTAATTTTATTTTTATTTTAAAGCTATTTAATTGTCCTGTCAACTGTCATACGCAATTAAACCAGACATGTGCTAACTATTTTTATTAAATTAAAAAATTAAAAAAGAGAAAAAAGTTGTCAAAAATTAGTATTTTTAAAAGGAAATTGTGCATTATTAAAACTAATTTATTATTAACTATGAGTTTTTGTTTTTTGCATAAGCAAAATATTTATTAATTTGGGAATTTCTTTTCCTTTATGATTCATTCACATCAATAATTATATCATGCATGACTATATAGTGGCACCCATGTTAAAAAAAGTTATCTCTCACCAAAGATAATGTGCTATATTTCATCCGAAAATATTAAAGCCGACAGAAATTAAAATATTAAAATATTAGGTACAAATTAAAATTACGCATTCTTCATATTAATCTACTAATATTTTTTCAATTAAAATTAAATCATATGTTTTTTTATGAAGGTCATAATAAATTAGTCATACTAAGGTTACCTGTGGTACTGTGGGGGGGGGGGGGGTACTGTAGATTTGTTTACACGTGTGTGTTTTTATTAGGCAACATTTTTAATTTGGCACACGTAGGTATCTGCCATGCATGGTCGTCTGCACGGAGAGAAGTGCGGCCCGTGACCGAGATTCGAACCGGTAACGCTCGGCCACTCCGTCCCCCATCATATGTTTTCTTCAGCTCAAAACAAAATATATAATAATTTTATACAAAAAAAGGTGGGCAAGTGGGTGTCACTCTGCTGTACAGTATTTAACAAGTGGGTCACCGCAGTAGATTATGTTAAATTTGAATTCAATGATATAATATGATTGTATAAGAAAAACGATTCTGAACGAAGACGGTTAGTCAGCCTATTATATTATTGTGTATCAAGTAATTTATATAATATAACCATTTACGTGGAACCTTGTTTTAAATGTTCAATCCTTTGATATAAAAGTTGAACATTTTATACATTTTCAACTACAAAATAATTATAAAAATTTTATATTTGATAAATTCTGTCAAAATTCGAACTTAGAATAAAAAAATGTGCCTATGTATTTTCCAACTGCTATTGTAAAACCATATCTACGCATTTTTACCCAACAAATAAAATTTTATTGGCAATTATAGAAAAAAAAAACTAAAAACAAAAGAAAACTAACAATGTACATAAACAGCTTAAAAAGAGTCAAAATATTTTCATTGCTGTATGGTATATAGGAAATGAACATCTATATAAAAATTTGGTGACATTTTTATGTATCTATAGTTATTCGTTTTTGAATGACAAGAAAATAACCACTTCATGAAAAATCGAGTAAACATATGAACTTCAAATTATAAGTTATAAATTGTATAAACTAATAAGGCTTATACAAATTTTAATTTGATTTGCTTGTAGAAATTTATTTTTGATGAAGGTTGGCAAACTTATGAGTAATCTTATATTACATTTTCAAATCTTAGATTGAAATAGAAATACATTTTTATGAATTTCTAACTAAAAATAATTTGCACATTTTTGTAAATTTTGCGTATTTTGTCAATAATCGAATTTTAAATGCTTTTAAAAAAAAAATAATATTTTATTTTTAATATTTTTCGTCTGTCTTTGTAATAGTATATTAGGAGCCTTATATTAAATTAACAAGCTTTTTTACACAATAAATAAAATTTAATTGATTGTATTTATAAAATAAAAAAATAAAAAATTGGAAACTGAATATGTCTGTAAACATCTCAAAATAAGACAAAATATTTTTAAAATGTTATGGTGTATTGAAAATTCTAATATAAATATTCAGTCAAAATTGCATGTAATCTACGGTAAATTGTTTTAGAGTTACACCAAAAATTAAAATCTAACTAACTGAATTAAACTTCATCTGTAAATTTGCTATATTATGTTATGCACTTGTAAGACGAATACAACAAATATTTGTGTAGCGTCCTTTAATGTAATACAACTATATCTGAACGTTAGTCTTTGAACTGTTATGACTTATGAATTATTTGTGTAAATATTTAAATAAAAAATTTATTTTTTTTTAAATGTACTTCGGTGATTCGATAAAAATAATACACTAAAACATTACGAATATTCGTACACTTTTGTATTCGATATTGCGTGTCACTGTTCACTGGTTCGAAAGTTCGATAAGTTATGAATAATATAATATATTAAATGTATTATTATCATTTATCACGCTTAATTTGCAACCATGGCTTAACTTTTATATTACATTTGCTGTCGGTTTATTTAGTACGATGGTTTTATATCGAATTAATTCGATTATTTTAATTTAAAGTCATGAAAGAAATTCGGGAAAATTATAAAAAAAAAAAATGTATTTAAAGAAGTGACTAGGTAGTTGTTAGGTAATTTAGATATTTTAGGTAACTATATAGGTAGGTTGTTAGGTAATTTATAATCATTAAAGCATAAGCACGAGTCATGTTTTAAAATAATAATAATTTTGATACACAGTATGGTTTACCGAGTCTATCTGCTCACCTCCATATTGTTTCCTTTAATAGGTAATGAATTTATTCAAATTCTGATTTTTGGAAAATTTAATTTTGTTTAGACACTATTTTTACTACCTACTTAACTATGTTCCTTTTGGCGATACAAACGTTTGTTTTTCAAACGACTACAGTATCTTTCTTGTTGCTTTATATAATCAGACACTGCTACTAGATTTATAAGAAATACATTTAATATTATTAATTGTAGAGAACAATGTAAGTTTTTATAAATTAAGTTTGAATTTAATAATACAATTTGCCATTGTACAGAGATTTTCCGATATCATTGTATTAATCTAATTGGTGTTTTATACAGTTTACAATATTATCTTGAATGTAAAAGATATTCACATAATTGGAGGTGATATTTATATTGATATTATAATAGCGATAATGTGAACTTACTGCATTATCTTGCTAATTGCGACATTTCAACTCCTTTGGGGTGTAACTACGTCGGATCGCGGACAATTTGCAACAGCATGACAATATAATATATTGATTTTATGCATTTTGCTTGCACCTGATCTGTCCTATTAACCAATGGCAACCATATAAATATTAATTTATTTCTTCTATAAGCAATAGCAACCATTTATGTACAAAAAATCCTACCGTTAATCTCAAAATCCCAATTTGAACTCCACCACTGGTGGAGGGTGAAAAATAATTAACGACCCATTCTCATACCTACCAAATATACAAAAACAATTTGATTATAATCGGTCAAGCCGTTACGGAGGAGTTCGTTCACTAACACCACAGATTATATAAAACTAAAAAATATATTAATATATAAATATTATGTATATACCTACGTATATTTACATCGAATGTCGAATTTTACTTCTCGGAATAATTCATAAACGCCTATAAAAAACCCACAAAATAAAAAAAAGGTCAGGTTGAGGGTAGTTTGAAGCACATCGGCCATATTTAGGTATACAACTTACACGTTTATTTTAATTATTAATAATAATTAATTATTTATTGAATTTATCGGATTAGATTTATGTCTACGACACTCACAAGGAATGTAGATTTCTATTTGTGAAAGAATTTTTGAAATTGGTCCAGTAGTTATTGAGTTTATTCATTACAAGCAAACAAATCTTTCATGTTTATAATATTATAGTATATATCAGTGGTTTTCAAACTTTTAATAAAACAATTAATAATTTTAAAATAAAAAAGGAATATCGGTATAGTAATAAAGGACTTGTATACCGAGGTTTTGCAAAAAAAAAAAAAGACAATCAATAATTACACTTAAACATTTTGTTAATTTGCGTTTATATCAAGATTACACTTCTTCGTCCGGTATGTTTATCAGATTTGGATCCCTGTACCAATAATAATGTGGAGATCCCTCCGACACGCAGATGTGTTGTTGTAAAGGTTCAGTCCCATCTACCCAGTACATCATGTAAAAATTGCACATTTCATCGTCGCTTGTCGTGCTATGAACAAATTAAATATTAATTGGAATATTAACCACAGTAACTGGATTATACTTCATGAGCAACGTCGATCTTACCCAATTCGTGTATAGGTGTTTCGCCTGCTTTCCATTGTACACCTGGCAGCCTATAGACAATTACACGTCATAACAAACGTATAAATTATATACAAGGTGATTCTCTTATCACGAAACAATCATTATTCCAAAAATATTTTTTTACATAGTTCCAAGTTGTTAAAAAAACAACAAATTTATCAAAAAAATCATATTATTAAATATTTTGTTTAAGCTTTTATTACTATTTACTTTTTTGAATGACGACATAGAGTTTTAATTTAAAATTCCAAAGCATAATATTTTTCGAAGTATTTTAATACATAAAAATAGAATTTATTACGAGTAGCTTATGACTTATTATAACAGTATTTAAAGTTTTGACAAGTGGAGTAGTGGACAAACATTTTGTGGGGTAACCCCGTACCACTCCTCTCCGCCCATCTAAAATTGAAATACTTATAAGTTATAACTCATAAACTACTCCCCCTAAATTCGATTTGTAAGAACCAAAATACTTAGAAAAATATTCTGCCTTAGAATATGAAATTAAAAGTCTATGTTTTCATTCAAAATAGTAAAACCTTAAAAAATTATAATGATAAAATTATTTTTAAATATAATTTTTAATAAAAACGTTGTTTTTAACAACTTGAAACTATGTAAAAAAAATTAATACTTTTTGTTGGAATAAGACGTTGCCTTGTACATACCTAATATAGTAAAATATCCATCGTAGGTAATTGAGTTTCAAAAACTACTCACCAATATATCACCAGACTCGATGGTAATATTGTTCTCAATTGGGTAAAACATTTGTGGAGTCATGGGATCTCGTTTTCCTAGCAAATCCCATTTTTGTACTCCATTACTATTTTTCACTCTGTAACCAGCTACCATTTTACCTATATAAATTTAAAAAAATTGACATATGTAGTGATTTAGGTACATAGTAGGTACACTGTATAATTAAATTACTCCCACAACTGAGTACATAGTACCCTATGCATATTTTTGAACTCTGTTTGGCGGACATGAAACTAGATGATTGGATCATCGATCTCCCACAGACAGAATTCTAATATATGTATTGATTATTGAGTAAAGTAGGTAACTGAGTTACATAGTGTACTATGTATAAATATTTTTAACATAAAATAAAATTAGTACCAAGCACGTATTGTGTAACACATACCAAGTTCATGGGTGTGGACCCTGTACGCAAATGGATGTATGACTTTATCAATCTCTTTGAGAGGACACGATGTTTCCATGTGTTCGATCGAATTTGGGGGGATTATTCCATTTGTAGTTAGTAAATATACTCCTGCTTGTTTATCTAATCTGTAGGAAAATAATCATTTATAATCCTCACAACCATAAGTTATTGAAATAGCAGTTGATACATAAATATTAAAGATTCATAGGTAGGACAATTTTTTTTTTAGCATTACAAGTTCAAATTATTTTACAGTAAAAATTGTATGAAATGTTCAATTTTTATATAGCTAAGGGATGAAAATATAATTAGGTTCTGCATAAGTAGTTCATACGGAACCAATCTATACACTCACATTTTTTTTTTGTGAACATTTTAATTCAAAATGTAGTGAAAATTAGATATTTAAACAAAGAATAACAATGTAAGTTATTTTGTTGTGATTCAAAACTTTATTTCATGAGAATTTAAATCTTTAAGTATATTATTATATTTTATATATATATGTTATGTCACAATTTCATTTTCAAAGATTAATTTGTTGCCATTGCCTATTTATGTAGGTACCACGAACCTTTTTGCACCGTTCTACGGAAAGTTAATAACAATAATATTATATTATTGTTTAGATGTATAGGTATTATAAAGAGTTTAAACAAAAGTAAAAGAAAATATTATATTATCTTACTGTTGTTCTGTGTAGTGCAAATATATCCCAGAGTTGTCGGTTTCATCATCTATAAATTAAATAAATTGTAGGTAGGTACAATAAAATTCGATGTTATAGTAACGTGTCATTATGGTGACGTATATTTATAATGTATAATTCGGGCTAAATGTGTTTGTGATTTCAAACATTTAGAATAAATTGTGCTCACTCAACTATGGTCGAGTAAATAAAAAAAACTCGAGAGATTATAATATGTAATTCTGTTCTGCACAATTGATTTAATACTAGCCTTCAAACATCCTATGGTAGTGAATCTGTAAGACTAAAAAATTGATCTGTGAATCACTTCCGACTTTAAACCCAATACCATTTGGAAGTCTTAAGGTTGGTGCATCACGAGCCCAAGCATACATTATCTGAGAAAATTATAAAGTGTGTTATTATTATGTATCGAAAAATATTCAGTTGAAATATTGAACACGAACATTAAATCCTGATTTACATGGGTTTGAATGCATGTACCCTTTATGTTTACTTAATGATGGCATTTGCATTTCTCCACAGTTCCTTAAAAATGAAGAAAAAAACAATAATATTAATTGATAGTTATAATTTATAACAAGCTTGGAGTTTGTTGTTTACCAAACAGGATCATCGCTTCCGGGCTCTGAACACCCATAAAGTAACATATGGTGTGTTGTATTACCATGAGCTTTCGGCTCGAAACCGACTAAAAAAAAAAATCATTGTACCTAAAAGTAAGTATATGAAACAAAAATAACTTTCAAACTTTTAAGCTATGGAAAAATATTTTCCAAAATAGTTTTCAATTAATTATTAATATTATTAACAACTCCTATGTCCTATAATATATGTATATCGCATGTTAGTTTACAGATATACAGAAATGAGAAAAGTACCTGCCATGGTAAATAAAATAAATTACCTAATAAAAAAATACGAGTACTTTAATCCATGTGAACAAGTAAAAACAAATTAAAAATATTAAATACAACTATTATTTTACTGTTAAAATTGTTACACTTACCAATAAAGTAAGACTTGCTTGGATCTATCATAATAGGAGTGCACAAATACAAGTCCTTCTACAAACATATAATAAATAATTTTTAATTCGTCATACTAATTAAATCTAAAATAATAAATTATAAAAAAGTAAACGAGTGGGTACCGCTCTGCTGTACAGTAGTTGTTGAGCATAATTTTTTAATATTAATTATCAATAATGATAAAACAAGGTGTACAAATTACTATAATATGTTAATGGTTATAAATCAAAAAGATGCTACACAGGCATTAATCGTTGTCTCCGTCCTACAAGTGCACTAGCAAATTGCTAGTTAACATAGCAAATTTTACACTCAGTAGATCACATTTAGCTCCGTTAGCTTAAAAATCAGAGTGAATTATGACCTTTTATAGAATTTAAAAGAAAGATTATTATGTATTATAATCTCATATGTTTTTTGTTATATTTTAATTTTAAAGCGAGTATGAGTATTTTAAGATGTATAAACAATTTACAGTTTTAAAAAACTCATAAGTCGATGTAAGACTAAAATATAATAAAAAAAAACCTATTTCGTTGCCTAGATAATAGTCTTACCTTTAAATTTTATTAAAGGTCAATTCACTCTAACTTTTAAACTAATATAGAGTTAAACGTGATGATTTCCTGAGCTAGATATTTGGTATGTTGCGCAATTGTAGGACGGAGACAACAATTAATGTATGTGTAGCGTCCTCTTAAGTTTGTAGCTATATAACTGTATAACTGTATAAGTATAACACATGGTATATTAGTATTATAATTTATATAAAAACTATAGTTTAGGTAATTAAAAATCAACAGTCTTATGTCATTATGAATTATGTAATACAGTAATATAACTTACATATATTTTTATATAGGTAGATACTTGTTACTTATTTACAAAATTATAAACTAATACAGTTATAACACTTTGCACTACTATGATTTATAATTCCGTCGATACACTTTATAATTAGCTGGTGAATATATTAAATAATATATTTAATAATCCAACCGGTAGCTAATTGTAATAAAGTAAAATACAAATAGAAATACTAAATAGTAAATAGATTGGAATATTGGACGTAGACATTGTTGCATTTTCAATGTTTCGAATAAACATTGCAATAAAATTAGTTCAGAACATTATATTATATTATGTATCAATAAGTAATCATTAATTAATGTATATACCTAGTGGAGATGAGATAATTTTTATATTTTATTCGTTTCATTTATTCTGTGGCTATACAGTAGGTACTATAAAGTATAGACTGAAAAAAAATAATCACATTATAATTTATAATCATATTATTAGTTATTCTTTGTCGTCCTGACGTTAATCGTTATTAATTATTGCTTATAATATTAAATTGAGTACGAACTACGAATACTTATTTGAATTTAAAAATTAAAGTAATCCATATAAATCGATTTTGGTTCTTGGTGTAACTCTAAAACAAATGATCGTATATACATGAAATGTTCTCTGGTTGTTTATATTTGCTTTGTCAATCTATACGCACGATAGAATTATCAAAATATTAACTGTTCAGGGACATTTTCAGTTTCCAATTTTATTAGTCTTTTTTCTATGAATATCAATAAAATTTGATTTGTTGAATAAAAAAGCGTGGAAATTTAATGATATATTGTTACAATAGCAGTTGTAATAATGTAATATATTAAAAATACATAGGCACAATTTTTTTTTAAACCATTTAAAGTTAGAATTTTGACAAAATTTAATAATTATATTATAGTTAAAAATATATAAAATGTTCAACTTTTATAGCTAAGGGTTGAAAATGTAAGATAAGGTTAAAAAAAATTTGCACATTTCCGTGATTTTTACGTATTTTGTCAATATTTGAACTTTAAATGCTTGTAATAAAAAATTGTGACTGTATTATAATATTTTTCAACTTTCATTGTAACAATATACAATATTAAATGTTCAAGCTTTAAAATTTTGTTGGTATTTATAGAAAAAAAAAACTAAAAAAAGGTGGGTAAGTGGATGTCGCTCTGCTGTACAGTAGGTTACAAGTGGGTCACTGTATAATGGATGCTATTAAATTTGAATTCAATGATTCAATATCATTGTATAAGAAAAACGATTCTGAGCGAAGACGGTATATCAGTCTAGGTTTAAGACAAATTATATACATATCTATGGTATTAAAAAAAAATTGACCTAAAATAAATTCCAAATTAATCATATCACAATATCCATTAGGTACTTATAACACGTTATACACCAACAACAAACCCTGATACTATCATATATATATAATAGTACACTTTAGAAGTTTCAAGTAGGTACCCACGAATAATATTATATAATCACAACAAAATAACTAGGTTTTTTAATATGTAATTTCGTCCAAATTTGAACATAAAATGACTATAAAAATAAACTGTGATTGTATATTTTTTAGATTTTTCGGTAAGAGAATTAACTACTTACGTGGAATATTGTTTTAAATTTTCAATCCTTAGCTATAAAAACTGAACATTTTATAATTTATTAATTACGATGATTAATAATTTTCGAGATTTTGAAAAATTCTATCAAAATTCGATGTTAAAATGCTTATAAAAAAAAATTGTGCCTATGTATTTTTAATATTTTTCAACTGATATTGTAACAATATATCAGGAGCCTTGTATTAAATTTTTACACTTTTTGGCCCAACAGATAAAACTTAATTGATATTTATAGAAAAAAAAAACTAAAAAAATTGAAAACTGAAAATGTCCGTAAACGGCTCAAAAAGTGTCAAAATATTTTCAAAATTGTAGGGTGTATAGGAAATGCTAATATAAACATTCAGTGAAATTTTCATGTATCTACAGTAATTCGTTTCTTAATTACAACAAAAAAAGGAAATTGCCACATGAGAAATCGAGTGAATATCCAATGTTGTAAAAATTTGAATTTCAAACGCTCATAAAAATTTAATTTGACTTTCCGGTAGAAATTTTTTTATTGATAAAGGTAGACAATCTTATGAGTAATCTTGTATTAGATTTTCAAATCTTAGATTTAAAAAGAAAAATTTTTACGAATTCTTAACTCAAAATAATTTGCTAATTTTCGTGATTTTTCCATATTTTGTCAATTTTTGAACTTTAAATGCTTATAAAAAAAAATTGTGACTAAGGATTTTTAATATTTTTCATCTGCCTTTGAAACAACATATTAGGAGCCTTCTATTAAATTTTCAAGCTTTCGCAACCAACAAATAAAATTTTATTGAAATTTTTAGAAAAAAAACTAAAAAAAAATGGAAAATGAAAATGTCCCTAAACAGTTCAAAATAAATCAAAATATTTTGAAAATGTTATCGTGTATAGAAAATGCAAATATAAACAACCAGTGAAAATTTCATGTATATACGTTCATTTGTTTTAGAGTTACACCAATAACCAAAATCGATTTTTTGGAAAATCAATTTTGCGTAAAAATTCCCGTTTTTCCTTAATTTTTATGTTGTTTTTCCCGGCGCGTGTGAAAACTACTGGGAAATTTAAATGTTGACCTCCCCAATGCACCAACGATATTCACTTTCCAATCGAACAAGATACTGAAGTCGAAAATCGAAGCATTATTTCGACTACTTATCGTGTACACAGATACAAAAAAAATAAAAAAATAAAAAAATAAAAAACACACATCATTGTAAAATCAATACATTCATCGTTTCACTCAGAATCTAAAATTTGAAACTGAAAATGTCCGTAAACAACTAAAAACAAGACAATTTTATCGTGTACAGGAAATGCTGATATAAACGTTCAGTCAAAATTTGGTGTATCTACGGTATATATTTCATGTATCTCCCCCCCTCCCGCAATCCGCACCTGGCTACCACAATTATAAATATAATATAGTTTTAAGTAATTATGAAACAATTTACAATATTAAGTATACCTAAAATAATAAGAAATAAATAATAAAACCTAAAATATTTTTTTATACGAGTTATAAATCATGTTTATAATGTTGATTTAGCTTATGAGTTTGTAACTTAAGGGTAAAAGGCTATGTTTAAATTGGTTATTTTTAGATTTGTCAAACAACTTCTACATTATATTATAATATAATTATGGGGGACGAGGTGGCCGAGCGGTCTGACGCGTCGACTGCGGCGCTGGCAGTCGCGGGTTCGACTCTCGACCACTGGGCGGCATTTTTCTCCGGGCAAGTCACGGTGTCCGGAGTACAAGTGCCGCCATCCCCCAACCCGGGGCATGGCAGAAACCTACGGGTGCCCCAATAAAAATTCTGCCACCACAAACACACACGTGTACCAACCTACCCAATCTAAAAACCTACAGTTCCCTACCAACACCCAATGGCCTATGTTGCCGCGGATTATCCAATAAAAAAAAAAAAAAAAAAAAAAATATAATTATGTCACCTATCTATAATCATTGTTTCATACAATAAAAAACTTTTAAAAATGTTTCTTTGCAAGTTGATAACTACCTATAAACTTTTAGATATAATAAACTTTATTTTTTCATAGAAATGAAATATTTCAAGGTAATTTCATGAAATTTTAAAATACTAATTGTTTTATAATTTTTGTCCACTGGCATGTGGTTGAAGAACCGGGTGGAAAATATTACGCACTTTATATATTACCAGCATTTAGTATAACTACTAATGTATTGCTTAGAAACTTTAGCCCATAATTTTGTCTTGCATTAAGGCCGTCAAAAAGTAATTTCCGTCATTCGTTATGGCCGCGGAACTAGTTAATAAAACAGCAGTTTAGGAGTTCAATAAATTAGGCAGTACCTACCCACTATAATGATCGTATTGTAATGATATCTACGTCATTGCACCAACAAAGTTTCATGACTCAATATCATCATAACACTATTAAGTATTTCATTACCAAAAAACCACAATAATAATATGTAGGTACCCATGTACCCATTATATCACCCAAAATTATACATAACAACAACAGTCATACTCATTATGAAATCAAATGACTATACAATATCTAATAAACACTATTAAAACATAATAAATATCTGTAACCATGTACCCTGATATTATTCAAAATGTACTAAAAACTATTAATAAGTAATAACCATATATATATACATATGTACAAATGTCACTAATCTTACAAAAACATATTTTGATTATACCCATGTACTTATGCAAAATAAACAATAACAATTTAATATGGAACAACAAGGTATCATAGGTCAATACTATAAGTAGAACCCCCTTTTTGATATTCAAATCAGTCTGCTCCCATCAGCTGAGTCGGATCTCAGCAGCACAGTATCATACGCACCGTCTTATTTCATTACTCAAAATCTCAAAGCGAATATTAACTTAAAAACGTTATTATTTCTAAATCTTATAAATATCTTGTTGTGAACTATTAAATAGAACTTCCATTTTCAAACCAAAATTGTACTTACGTTATTCTTACAAACTAACATCGTCAATACTCCATTTCCAAATTCTATCATCGTTCAAATCAAAGCAACATCAACCAGGTAAGAAATTATAATAATACTTACCATATAACTTCAATAAATAAACCATCATCAACAACAAATTAATAAATACACGCAGACTCCGGTGCATCACAAATTCATAAATCATTTTACATCATTATATCCTTCGTTTATAAATCTATACTCACGATCCCAATCAATCGTAATAATTATATGCTTTAACTGGTAATAAAAAATAGGATAAAAGAAGTCGCTATTCTAATCCCTTTAATTATTATTCATTTAAAATAGCTAACTATACCAACTTAGTTAATATATTATTATAAGGTGAAGTTTTATCAATAACAACGTACATGCTTATTTTTAAATCATCACAGTATTGTTTGTGTGCAGTTTGTAATAAATAAATATTGTAGGTATATATGTATAAAGGTAGGTATATCTCGTAAATCGTATTTCGCAAAAATATTATGTAAGTATTATAATTTATATTGTTCATAGGACACACTCGAATTGGTGACATTTTGCAATATTTACTTTACTTATAGTGTATGTGTTTCACAGTTCAAATCGAAATTGTATACCTAACATTATTATTACTGTGGTCTTTGATACTCTAATATTGTAATCTCGTTAATTTTATCTTTCATCGATCCACAAATTATGTAGATACACAATGCTAACTCAGCACTGTAATAAACGCACTAGCTCCGGCGCGGGAACAAACACTTTTTTTTGGATGTGGGAGGGTGGTTAGGTCCCACAAAATGTTCCCACGTTTACTTTATTATATCATACTTAATAATTTTCGGGAGGAGGAGGTTGACCCCCCCCCCTCCGCGTTTGTTCTTACCAGCACTACCTACTCACCTTTTTGGGCTGGACGTTGGGCATTAGCAGTGAATACTTGTCCACGCGGTACGACTCGGCTGACGACCGTATTATAGTGGTGAAGACGACGATGACGACGACCAGCAGCGAGATCAAAGAACCCGAGTACTGGACCGACGATGGCAACGGCATGACTCTGATGGGGCGGTAGCGTTGACGTACAACGGACGTAGACGGCACAACGCAAAATGCCGCCGCGAAGACCGGATGTCCTCGTAGAAGTGCGGAAGTCGGCTACGAAACGCTCGAGCCCTGTAATATTGTAATACTGACCGGCCTGTCGACTGCCGGACGGTGACCGCTTGAATAAGGCACAGACGACGTAAACGATGGCCCGACGCAGGACCTGCCTAATAATATTATTCGACGCGTATAATAATAATAATAATATTATAGCGACCGAGAATAATATCTACCCGCCTGCGTCACTGTAGTCTGTAAACTGCTGTGATGTAAAATAATATCGTTATATTTTGGGCGGCATGTGCACTACAACACTGTCGGAGCCTACGCACTTTCGCGCCCGAACCGCGACAACCGGTGGTCTGCACAACCACGGACGAGGACTCTTTACTTCTTGGGAACCCCTGGCCCTCGTATATTTGTGTTTGTGTGAGTAGTGAGTGTAATTATTGTTTCCCCACTACGCCCGCACTCTACTCGTATAGTCGTATGCCACCGAACACCTACGTCGCCACCGCATTCCTGCGGGAGACCGACAGAGCTGGCCCTTCTATAAGACTATAAGGCTGGGCGCACACCAGTGCAGAAAACCGCCACGAGCCTCTGTAATAACCCGGCCGCCCGTTTCACACTGCACCACCAATGCTTTGGTGTGGAAACTGCCTAAAGCGACGTCGTAATATGATATTATGCTCCGCGCCTCCGTCTGCGGTCCGTCGCCACTCCCCGGCCAAAAGTGTTTAATCTGATATTTTAACCATGTGTGAGCAGGAGCCTTGTATTACATTTTCATTCGTTTCTAACCACATATAGGTACGTAGGTACCTGTAAATATTAACGCAACAGCCCACAATAAATATTATGGAACATTGACTATCAGTATATTAAATTATTACGTTACATGGTTTTCGAACACAAAATGTAAAAATTCATTTTACTGTTACGTCCCGCAAATGACGTCGATATAATATTATGCATCAACTGAGGAAATTGAATACGCTATGTATTTGGTTGTGTTGTGTTGTGAGTTCATTAATACAAAATCACAATGTATAAACTATGGTAGAAAGGTGACTCTGAAATGATAACTAAATTAGGTCATGAGGCAGAGTTCAGGTCTCGTACTTGGTGTTCTGGTCGACTTGCATCCTTCCATTCGAGTATTGAGACTTTCCCGAGGAGAGACGTGTGACAATTGATTTGAAAATTGAACATACGATTTACCGTACATTCATATACTTTTAACAAAAAAACAGTTTTCCGGAAGTCAATTAAAATTTTTTCAACCGTTTGAAGTTAGACGTTTGAATATTGGATATTTACTCGCCATTGAATACGAAAAACGACGAAGACGGAATTTCAATTAAAAATATCTATAGAAAAAAAAACTGATTTTAGATTTTTTGGTTCAATTATGGATTACACAATCAGAGTGAAATCATATATTATACAAATAAAGGTATAAAATGAACAATTTGATTTATGTTGGTACCTACCTAAATTCATGGTAATGATCATAAAAAAAACTCATCTATTAATGTTTTTGACGTAATTAGTTCTACTACAGATGAAATAGCTAGGTAGGTATATACTAATGCACTTTAGTTTACTTAAACTATAATACCATACTAACTTAATATTCAATCAATAGTCCAAAAATCTTAAGATGATGCTACCCATGCATTTGTTGTCTCCGTCTTACACACACATGACATAGCAAATAAATTGTCGTTCACTAGTTTCAAAAGTGTGCTGTTATAGTTTTGATATTAGAGTGATTTAACCTATTATCAATTTTCTAAAGATAACGATATATTATATTGTGCTTAATCGTTATCTTTTATTAGATATTATAATTTTCAAGCGAGATATAAGCATTTTTAATTTTTGATTTTTTCCATACCAATGTATCTTGCTTGAAAATGAAAATTTCAAAAAAATCGGCAAAGCTTAAGGACAGATAATGTTCTTACCTAAAAATTTTATAATAGTCAATTCACTCTAGTATCAAAACAACACTATTGAAACTAGTGACCGACAATTTGCTATGTCGCGTGTGTGTAAGACGGAGACAACAAATGTATGGGTGGTGTCCTCTTAACTTAATAGACTTAAAACAGTCAAAACTGATACGACTATACGAATACTATATATAACAGTATTAAATAAATAAATTGTAGGTACCTATACAAATTTAGAATTTAACATTTTAAATATCAAACACGGATATCAAAATGTAATGATATAACTTTAAGTTACCTTAACTTGTCTGTTGACTTAATAACAATTCTGATTCGCAGCAATATATTTGAGGTAGGCAATCTACCTGAGGTAGATCATGGACCTCGTGCTGTTTATACGTAAGTGTATGATTTAACACTAAAGTATCAAAGTTAGGTATAAGAAGTTTGTCTTTTATACTTAATTCCAAATATGGTGGATAAATAATATAATCAATTAATACAAAATCCTAACCTAACCATATTAAAATCCGATGAATAAAAAAAAAAAAAATTTAATCCTTTTTAAATTAGCCTATTTTCTTCCCAAAGGTTTAATCTACACACAAACATTAATTTATGTACCTATAAATGTAAAGGAAATTGTCCTCTTGAGGGATCAACGTAGAGCCCCAACCACACGGCGGATCTGCTTGAAATTTTCAAGATCGATTAATATTATAATTTCACCGTGCTTTAAGATAGGATTTTTGGAAATTCTTATTATTATTATTATTTATCACAACAAAAACCCTTTGTAAACTACGTATAAAAATGGCTAAGTAAAAAAAATATATGATGTATAAACACTATAAAGATGCGATATCATGAATAAATGCTAAGTATATTTTATTTAAATAAACTTACTTTGTTAATTTATTTACTTGGTGAGGAATTATTTCTTAAAAGAAACAGAGTGTGATGAAAAAATAATTAAATGGGCGAAGGACTATTAAAATATAACTTATTATTATTTATATTTATATAATATTCTAAATAATTTCTCGCCAAGTAAATAAATTATCGAAACAAAATAAGTTTACTTAAATTCAATATACTTAGCATTTATTCATGATATCACATCTTTATAGTGCTTAAAGATCTTATATTTTTTTTACTTAGCCATTTCTACAAGTAGCTTATGAAGGGTTTTTTTTGTGATATCACTAATTTTTATCATAAATGCAAATAATGAAAATGTATCTATGGTATATATATTATATATACATATTACATATAACATATTGTATAAAGTACGGACAACATCTGATTGTGTAAATACTGAGTAAATATTTAGTATTTACACAATAATCTATAAAAACGGTATTATTGTTTATAGTACGGTAATTTTGTCATATTTTCCCCGATGACTAGATAACAAACATTGGCAACGCTGATGCTATGATGACGAAAGTTGCCGTGATTCTGAATTAAATATAAATTTACAATAAAAAGTTCGCACTTTTTCATTTATAATTTAATTTATAAACGTACGGTTTTGATGATTTTTACAAAAGCACGTTCTACACAATATTTCTGATGTTTTAAAGTTTACTAGTAGTTAATTGATGCGTTAGAAAATTAGTTATGTCGTACAACAAATTTATCTGTATTTTACATAGTTTAAATAGGCAACTCCTGCTTTGATATACAAACCGTCAAGTCGTGCAGTTATTATTATTTTTTTTTTTTACTTAGCTCCCGCTACGACTGTGGCGCTGGATTTATATTATTAAATTATTATTATTATTATTATTATTATTATTATTGATTAGAGGTTGTCATTGGCAATATAATATTGACATACTCGTAAGATATTATATTTTGTTCAATTATTTTCACTTTTATAAATCACGTTGATCCCTCAGGAGGACAAATTCCTTTATATATATAGATGTCATCTATTGTACAAATTACTGTGAATAAAATGTTGACATCTCAAATAGTTGTACCAATTATCGTTGATGGTGCCTGCCTTTTCCGTTAAATTTCCTTTCATTTGTTTAACACTCAAGAAAAATGCCAGGAGATCCGAAATACAATCGTTGCGTATGTCTCTGATAATTGGAATACCTTTAAAATTCATCAACTCGGTCAGAAGGTAATAATAATAAAGGTATGAATTTATCAATAGTAATAATTATAAACCCAACAATAACGAAAAGTACCGTTTAACAACAAGTATAAAATAATGCTCATCGTGCGATTGCTGAGCGGTTCACCGGCGGGAGAATTAGGCAAAAAATACCATATTTTCAATTATTATTATAAGAAACAATAGTTAACTAAAGTACCAGTCACGGTAAGAATTATAATGATATACAAAAACATTTAACAGTGAATAATGTTGTACTGTGCCGCCATCCGGCGCACCAGCAAAAACGGCTGCTACTCGCCAAAGGTTTTGTTTTCGCTGACACGGGAAAAAGTATAGTAGTGTAGCAAGTCCTAAACTTTTAGTGATAAGTCCTTAATTTTTGTACTTGTACAGTTATTTTATTGTACACTTATCATATGTCCGGACTTATCATACTTTTGACTTGTATTCCAAAATGTATGAACGGCCTACATGTTATAAGTCCGGATTTGTTATATGAGTGCAGTTAAAATATTTCAGATGCAGGACTTATTATATTTGAGCATACAAATTAACTATAAAGAAATGGACTTATAATGATTTGTGTTGAATTACAAACAACTTCAGTGATATTATTTTGTTTATAATTATCCCCGTTTTAATAAAGTGAAGAGTATTATTATTTATTACTCTTAAGAGTAATAAATTATGATCATAATTATGATGACTTATCTTGTAATATTAATATTATGGCATAAATAATTATCGTATATCAAGAAATATTATCAATCTTAGCTGAGCTTTGATTGTTCATTTCATAGACCTAGTTAATAGGTATAGGTATTATTTATGAACGATTATAATTATTATTA